ACTACATAAGCAGGCGAGGTGCATAGCTGAGGACCGAACAGCCCGGCATTGGTTGCATTCGACGCGCGGAAGCTATTAAAGCTACTTTACTAAAATGGTACCCAAACACTAATTACCCGACCAGTTTTACTATTAATATTGAACTGTGCATAGCGTAAAACCGATACCGTTATGCGTTTAAAAATTTACTACGGTACGTGTTGGCTGAACACAATATGGCTCGCGCCAGATTATCATACGTTTTGCATTTCTAAACAGCGGAGCTAAAAAGAAGCCAGCAATTTCCTGCCTTGACTTTCACATATTCGTGCTTGAGGCATAGGCTTGTGTGGAAGTAAATTTAAATCAAGGACAAGAATTTTTTCATCTTGTAACTCTTGAGTTAAAAAACTTTGCTAAAATTTTCAGACGCTCATAATTGAGGTTAAGATAGTTGACAGATAAATTAATTTTTCAAAGTTGCTCTCCCGGTAGAAGCTTGGGGCTACTGTCATTTTGCGTTCATTTTCAAGAAATTTTTGCTCACAGTACGTTGTGTTGTGTTGGAAATACGTATGTGATTCATCATTGCACGCGCATCATTTGATCAAAGGCCACATGCAACTGATCAACATGACGCTCCTGAAGGCTGAATTTAAAGTACCACGGTTGCTCACTGCCATAAAACATCTTCCTAAAATTTTCTCAGTTTATTAACGCAAGGGGCAAATAAAACACCGGTTCCCCAAGTTAGTAAATTTTTCGCCAAAATCTTCATTTGTTCGTATTTGTGACTTAAGCGTATGTAAAAACGGCGGCTTTAAATCTAAAAAATTTTGTATAAAAATTTGGAATTGTTGTTTTCAGGATATACTTTGAAGAATTCCGAAAGAATGACAGCAACTGAAATATACGGTATTTTCCTTATTGTCTGTGCTGAATTGGCAACAACGCCAACAGGAACATCGAGCGACAAGAGTAATGTTAACCGCATTCTCAGCTACAATTCTGATGATTTATTTAACACCATCCACAACAAAAGCAGCAACATCATCAGCAGCAGCCCAGGCAAAAAGAATAACAGCGACGATCAAAAGAATTCTACGCCCAGTGAATTCGGTGAAATTCATAACGTTGACAGCGATAATATCCTCGAAAACAGCAACAACTATACTAAAAGGAAGTTTATTCACACTCATTTTGGGAGAGTACGCAGTGGTAATAGAAGTAACAGTAGTGACAATAAGAACAGTAACAACAGTAACGACAACAGCAACGATAACAAAAGGTTTATTCGCATTCATTTTGGCAGAAGTGTTGAAGAAAACAACGCCGATAACAATGTCCGCACCTTTCAAAATAACAGTGTCAAAACAGAATTCATTCGTGATAAATTTGAACCACTTTTCAAGTGTAACCATGACGACAGAAGTTACATCCTAAAACACAACAACGACGAAGGAAACAACAGCGACAAAAAAAGGAAGTTAATTCACATTCACTTTGACGACGGACTAGACAGCGGCAGCAACAGTAAAAGAAGAAACATCCTGGAATGCTTCGATGACAAAAGCAGCGAAAAAAGGGCGATCATTCCCTTTCGGATCGAGTTAGTGTTTGATGGCGACAACGGCACTAACATACTTAAAAACAGCAGTGAGGGCAAAAATGATAAAAGGAAGTTCATCCGTATTCATTTTCGTTGCGTTTATAAATACAACGTCAACAGCATTAACCACGACAACAACAACAAAAACAGCAACAGCGCCAGTGACAAAAAGATTTTCATTCAAATGTATTTCAGCCAAATTTTTAACATTAACAATAATAACAGCAATGACATCTCAAAAAATTATTTGAACTACACGATTGATGGCAGCAGCAACAGCAGCAGAATGAGAAGCGACATCCTGAAATATATCGAAGGCGAAAACGACAAAAGAAAGTGGCTCATTTGTTTTCCTCCCGTCCGAATTTTTGATGATCGCAACAGCAGCGGCATCCTCGAAAGCAACTGTGAAGACAAAAACAATAAAAAGAAGTTCGCTCGCATTCATATCGCCATAACACCTAGCGCAAATAAAAAGAATGACAATAATATCTTAAAAAGTAAATTCAAGAATAAAAAGAGTAACAACAATAAAGAGTGGTCCTGGAGGATTCCTACCTTCAGAATATATGACGACAGCAACAAAACCAACAACCAGAACAACGGAAGCAGTGCGACGAAGTTAATCCTCGACCATTTTATGAGAAAATGTTGCGACTGTATCAGCTTTAATGTTAATACTCGAGACAAGATAACAGTAGAATTGCCTAGCAGTGGTAGCTTCAACGAAGTGAACGGCGCCATCTGTATCAGCCTCGGTGATAAACTTTGCTTCAGCAGTAGCTACATCAACAAAGAAAAGAAGTTATTCCGAACTGATTTGTGTGAACTTTTTAGCAACAACGTCTCTAACAACAACAACGTTGATAACAAAAGGAAGTTCATTTGCATTTACAATAGCAGCAACATCTTGAAGTACAATGACCAGGGAAACAACAGCGACAAAAAAGGACGGATAGTACCCGATTGGCACCCCTTAGCGTTTGATAACAGAAACAACAGTTATATCCTTGAAAGCAACAAGGATAAAAGCGATAAAACAAATGCCATTCATATTAATGACCTAATACTTAACGAGGATAACAGCACCAGCGACAACATCCTAGAGACTAGTGACGAGGACAACAACTACAACAATGGGAGTAAAGGATGGATCATTAGATTTCCTGCTTGGTCACTATTTGACGAAAGCAGCAAAACCAACAACGGCATCCACAGTAAAGAAGGATGGATCATTCGCATTGATTTTCGTTTAAAGTTTGACAACAGCAAAAGTAGCAACATCTTGAAGAACATAAGCGAGAACAAAGAAGATAAAAACAAGTTCATTCGCACTGATAACAAAAACAGTAGCAGTAAAGGGAAAATCGAGTGGATTGAAACACGCAGACTTGACGACAGAAACAAAACCATTAGTAACATCACGTACAACGGTAGCATGAACAGCAGAAGCAGTGCAACGAATTTCATCTGGATCACCGTGTGCAGAAAATGTAAGGACACCGGCAACTTAAGAAATGATATTCGCGAAAATATTACTCTAGAACTGAACAGCAGTGACATTTCGAAGGGACTGGACGGCATCATCAGCATCGACTACAGCGACAAACTTTGCTCCACTAATAATAATAACAATAGTAAGAATAATGATGAAAAAAAATTCCGCTTTCACAGGTTCTGGGTAATTAAGTTCCACAGCAGCAGCGAAAGCAACAGCAAGGAGAAAAACCATAGGAAATATTACAAAAGGATTCGTTTTGGCACAGCTAGTAACGGCAGTAAAAGAAATAGCAGTATAGGCAACTCCATCATGCGGTTCATCCACATTCATTTTGCCAAACCATTCGACAACAGCGGCTATAGCAACAATAACGTCCTGAAGAACAGCAGCGAAGCTAATAACAACGCTCAGAAGAAGCTATTCAGTATAACTTTCAGCGAGGTTTCTAGATGCAATAATAACGACTGCAATAACATCTCTGAAAGTAATTGTGTTAACAACAAAGACGATTACGAAAGAAAATCACTTTGTTTCGAATTTAACGATACATTTGACAACAAATACAACAGACCTTATGTTCAGAAAAACGATGACGAGGAGACAATCGTTCGCTGTCACTTTGAATACGCGCCTTACAAGAGCATCGACAGTAGCAGCATCGGCATCCTGGAACAAATCAATGAGGATAAAAACCGCAAAAAGGGACAGTTCATCCCCAGTTGGCCTAGACTGGCATTTGATGGCAACAAAAGCAGTATCATTCTTAAAAGCAACAGGGGGGACGAATGTATTAAAAAGAAGTTCATCTGTATTCAGATCCTCACATTACTTAAAACAAATAACGAGACAGGTATCACTATCCTTGAAACTGACAGCGAGGGCAGTAGCAACGACAACAACACCTGGTGGCGCAGATGCATTCATATCGGAAAGGCACATGACGATAGTAAGAACAACAGCCAGAACGAAAAAAATAATAAAAAGAAGTTTCTTTGCATCGACCTGATGAGAAAATGTAACGATCGCAGCAGTTTTAGTAATAGTACTCGGAACCATATAGAATTACTTTTTAGTGGCAGCTTGAACGAAATGAACAGCACCATCACTATCAACCTCAGCGACAGACTTTGTTCCAGCAGTAACTGTAACAAGGAAACATCGTTCATTCACACTGATTTTTGCATTGTTTTTGATTACAATAATAATGGAAGCAGTATATCCTCTAAAAGCAATAACGTGAAAAAAAATAACGACCATGGTAAAAGGCAGTTCATTTACGCTTACGATACCAGTGATTTCGGGAAGTATCGTAACAACACCGGCAAAAAAGAGAAGGTATTTCAGATTTGGAATTACTTAGAGTCTAATGAGAGCAACAACCTTGACAATAACAGCGAGGACAAAATTGATACCAAAGTCATTTGCATTCGCTTGGGCAAAGTACCTGACATAACCGGTAATATCGGCAGCACTGCCATAAAAACAAGCAACGATGACAAAAACAGCATCGACGACAATAAGAAGCGTTTCGAGTGGATGCCATCCTTGCATCTATATAATGAAAGCAGCAAAGACAGCAACGAGATCCTCAAAAACAGCAGCCACGACGACAGAAACAGCGCAGTGAAATTCATCTGCATCTATTTCGGGCGAAAATATAGCGATAACAGTAGTATTAGTAATGAAAAGCACAACAATATAATTATCAAACTGCTTCGAAACGGCAAATCAGACGAAATGAACAGCACCTTTTGCATCAACATCAGTGGCAGGCTTTGCTCCAACAGCAGTAACAGCGATAACAAGAAAGGTTCCACATTGTCTTTTTTTGTCAGGTATATCCCTATTACAACTGCAATAACTTCTTTAGAAACCAAAATGAAACCTACTACTTTGATAAATTTCCGGGAGGTCTTTAGCTGCAACGATAACAATGGTAGCATCACCAGTCAAAACAGTAACGTGGACAACGATGGTAGCAATAAAGGAAAGTTCGTTCACATCTATTTCGAAATGAAATTTAACAACATCAAAAACAATACTTAGCAATATCCTGAAATGCAGCCATGAGAATAGTGTCTAGCACATCAAGCGGAAATCCATTAGCATTCATTTTGATCTAAGCTATAAGGACACCAGCAACAACATCTTGAAAAACAAACAGCAGGAAAGAGCAATAAGAAAAAGAAATTTTTTTTTACTAAAACAACAACAGAACTATCTTACGAACAATATCCAGAGTGGAAGAAGTAGTATAGCAAGGTTATTTCACGTGAATTTCGGTCAATTATTTGACAGCAATAATAGCGCCAGTAATATCTTTAAAAGTAGCAGCAAAGAAATAAACGGTGAAAAGAAGTTAATTCGCATTCATTTCAGTGTTCCATTTAAGAGGGCCAACAACAACAACTTGAGAAACAGCAACAATGATAGCATCAATAACGAGAAGATGTGAACTTATATTAACTGAACTGAGCGTCAACAATAATAGCAACCACATCATAGAAAACATTGGCGGACATAACAACAATAAATGTTAAAGAGCAATTTCATTCGCATTAAGTTTGGTACTCTAAACTGCAGCAGCAGCAGCAGCAGCAGCAATAAGGGCAGCAAAGTCAAGCGATGCATCAGAAAGGAGTTCGGATATATTGATATTGGCTTAGAAGTTAATACAGTTACAGCAACAGCATCCTTAAAACCGGTAACCAGGGAAGCAGTGATAAAAACATAATTCGCATACATTTTGGTGCAGCATTTCTCAATGTCACTGCTAGCAGTAGCACCGCTATCCTGAAATTCGTAAGTGAGGACAACAGTGAAAAGAAAGAATTCATTTGCATCCACTTTAACAATCCATTTGTAAGCAGCAATAACAGCGGCATTATCCTTAACCGAAATTGCGATACACCAGGCTTGCCGGTGATCATGCGTTTTTGCCTTAAACTTGAGACAATCAGGACGATAACTCCATGAATATTGTACATTCATACTCTACGTACAGTCAGAACGTTGTTGAACACACAACTCTATGAATATTGTACAATCAGAATGTTGTTTTGCGTTACTTGTGCACTCATTGCCATAAATTACTATAAGTCTTGCATTAAGGAAAATTATAATTTCCTGTGACTGGTCGTTTATTGAAAATGACTCAGCTTTTTGTCTCAAAGTGCGCAGTTTTCCCGCCAAAAAATTAGTGTATCTGTGCAACAGAACCAGGCTTGCTGAGCAACTAAGTTCAAAATCTTTAAATTACGCGTGGACAGGGAACGTTTTTTAGGGTTTTGTCTTTTCTGGTCCCTGATTTGACAGTTTTCTTGCCAAAATCTTCATCTGTCCAAAGATGAGCGTAGAATTGTGTAAAAGTTAGTACCGCGGCCCTAGGACAGCGTTTCACCAGAGAACTCAACGGCAACATTTCAGCGCCAATGTCTGCCCGATTAGCGAGCTAAAATACCCGGATAGGCGCGAACATAGACACAGACACACACACGTCACGGTTCGTCACATGAGTTTTGCATTTACATAAATATGAAAAATTAATTGCATAAATGAGTAAAAACGCATAAAAATTTAAAATATCTGTCATACGTAATTGCTGGCTGAATTATCCTGATAGCCGTGCACACAAACACAGTTGTGTCAAAATCTACTTTTTTGACCATCGTAAAAACATTCAAAGTGCTTTTCCAGTGTTGTCTTTTTGGAAAAATACCCATTCTAATAAAGTTATTCAAAAGTGCAGAGATACACGGGACGCCAGACGCGATTTCGTACGTCCTCATGCGTTTACTTTATCATAGCTGATATATCAGCGAGTCGTTATGAATTCAGAGCAACGCATGTTTTTTCTTCCAAAGCAATGTTAATGTATAGCACTTTCGGCAACACCTGGAATTGCTGGCCCAGCTGTAACTCACAGTCAAGTTCTCTAACTATGTGGCTGGTAACTGTTTCAGCTGCCTTGACTATTTCACCGCACAGCTTGCTGATCGGCCTGTCGCTCGCTTGATTTTCTACCATTGCTCACTATTTTTATAATTAGAAAAATTTATAAGCAAGCACATTACCTGTGTCTTTAGGAAACCACACATTTTAAAAATAGCCCTTTCTAGCACGATTTAATCCTTTTTAATTGCCTGGATGCACCAAGAACCGCAGTCTAGAAATATCCAGGATTAATTAGAGTCCAAAGTAGAATGGGGCTAAATAACAGCCGGCGCTCACTAAATTCCTTAGTATTCTTTATTCTCTTATACAAATAATTAACTTGAACATCAAAGATTTGATGTAGTGCCGCATTCATTAGTTTCCACATGCCTGCGCTAAGTAAAAATTCAACATACAGAGGAGCTGGTGGTTCCTCGTCCAGATAATCTTATTTTACTTGACAAATTATAAATATTAAGGTTTCGAAATTATGACTTGTAGTTAATTGAGTAGACGTAGATGACTGCATCGTCGCCTTTATCACTTAACCACGTTATTTATCCAGTCTAGCTTATTTCGAAACTGTGAATCAGGAGACAGTGAAGTTTAAATGCTAATGTGGGTTATTAGCTCACCTAGTTCGGAGAACTACAAAGCTTCAAAAAACAGAAATTCTTTCATGAGTCTGGAATAAAAAAATTGCCCGGAATTTTGCGTTTAGTTATCGAATGTAGAAAT